GAGAATCGTCTGTCGGGAACCGATGCTTAGCTTGCCTTTAGTAGCCCTAAACCAATCGATTATTTGGATCTGAATAAAGCGGAAGCGTTCACCAGAATCACAAGTCTATGTCAGACCTGGTCGGAAATTCTTAAAGCAACGATTGAAGCTGATTCGGATGAGCTGGAGCAATCAAAGTTAGTCAGGATGCACGACATTTGAAGACTTCTCGCATTCTAGGGGTCGCTACTTGTCCAAGGACTACGTGATTCTGAGCAAAACATGGAGCAGAGTGGTGCGAATTCCTGCAGGACTTCTTGGCTTGCAACATCAATATCTTTCAACGGCTGAATAGGCAGGACACTTTCTCGTATACAGTGAAGACAATGCCTCCACTCAGAATCAGACGACCAAGTCTCATAGTGCTTCCACTCCACAAGCCCTTCAAGCCTCTTTCTGAAAGCGCCATGCGGAGCGCTTCCAGTGTTCCAGCCCCACGAGCTGATTGTGCTCTAGTCTTTATAGTATCGAAAGGTTGTGTAGCATAGACAGTGACAACCCCGGCAACCGACCCAGATCCAAAAGTGACCAGTGAGTTATTCGGCAAGCCATGTTGCTTAGACTGTTCTCTGAGCACATTGTATGAGCCCATGCGTACTGCTGAGGTGGTGGACTGCTTCAACGTAGTGGAAGCTAGGCCTCGGTAGACCTCTGCGAATCCGTGCTCTTTCACCATTGTGAATAATGCATTCGTTCCACCTGCGTACTTTCGTGCACCAGACTTTGCATCATCAATGCTTTTCTTCTGGTTAGCCAAGCATGCAAAATCAATGTTCTTAAAACAAGGTATATCTGAATTTGGGAATTGTTGATCACACTTACAGTGCTGTTTTCACTCTCTCAGTTGGTGTTACCGCTACAACACTTTCTACGCATCCGGCAATCATACCCGCCAGAATTCCTCTCGCTGGAGTCAGGCAACCTTCGCTGTCCATCAAAGAGTTCCTGATAGAGTCAAATGAAAGGAAGCGTACTCCGGCTTTGAACGTCGTTCCCTAAGATTGGAGATGAGCATACTGCGCAGCCGAGCAGATATCGATTTCTTACAAAGATTTGTGTTGAGCAGCCTGTGTAGATGGCTCTCGGTCCATCCCGTCGAGCAACCTCAAGCAGTACTGCAAATGGGTTTTTGGCGCCCGTTGAGTGGAGCTGCGCTCTCGTCTTCGCGAACTCAAAGGGATACTTTGGGGTGGGACTGAAGTCAGCGAGTTGAGTCGTCACAAGGGCCAATGAAACCAGCCAGGCTTTACTAACCGTAGTTGCAGCTTCAACAGCTCCAGCAATCCCGCCCGAGATTAGAGATATTCCTGGCGATATCTTGTGCTTGACAGCGATATTAGACTTCCTCTGCGGCGGGGTCGCGGTAAGGACCACACCGGATGAAGCAGTCGAGTCAATGGATGTCATGGTAAGTCCCAGCACTTCCGGTAGCCAGGAAAGCAAGTTCCTCGAGTTTGTAGAAGAGATATAACTGAGCTACGGAGATAAAAACATGAAAATAGCTATTGCGTAAAAGCTCTGGGACGATGACTGGCTGCAGGAGGTGTTTACGGCGCGGACGACGAAAGGCGAGGAGCTCGATCGGATAACATATAATGCCAGATGCTTCAAGTTACTCAAAACAAAACGCACTCACAGTTTGCGATCCGCCCGACTTCTCGTTCATTCTTGACCGGGGGCGGCTTTCGAGATCCCGCGGGAAGAAAACGGACTTACAGACAGCTGCCAATGCTCCAGCCCGACCAATCAGAATGCTTCCCGTGCCCGCGGCCCGTCCAGACTTAGGAACTCCAACGTCACTTTCTTCCCGCGGCAAGCTTCCCGTGCTCGCTTTCTTGCAAAACCACAGCACCCCGGAGCAAACATTCTGGATTCCACCAGCAAGCTATCCACGGAAACTGCTTTACTCCTCACTTCCCGCTCAGCTCATCATGGGTCCGAAATCGGGTAATGGCATCACGTCTTCCGGACGTCCCCGTAGGCGGGCCGTCGAAGCATGCTCGTTCTGTCGACGTCGGAAGGTAGGTCACTCTCAAGTTCACAGCGATGTGGATATGTCTAATTGCCTTCCAGATCAAGTGCAATAATGAGCAGCCTACGTGTGCCAACTGCAAGACTTACGGTAAAGACTGTGTCTATGAGCCTCTGGCTAGCCCTGACGACAACACACTGCACCGAACATCAACACGACGTCATGCAGAGCGGCAGAGACAGGGTGCTCTGAGGGGCACGAGACGGGAAGCCCGCACTCCGGCAAGTGCTGGGGATGGTAGTGTGCGCAACGACACTCCCGCGGACCGCAACGACGCCGGCCCCTCATCAAACCCCGATGACCACGACCCTTCGACCCCTCTCACTAGGAACCAACGGCCGGAAAACTCAGCGGAACGGGTATCTTCCCATCGCGGGGATGTATCTCGTATCGTGGTATCCGCAAATGGAGTCTCAAGCTACCATGGCCGCACCAGTGCCTTGTTCGAGGAGAATCCTCAGGAGCGATTCTCGGTAGCTGACCTGCGCCCCCGGATGCCAGATGACTGGGTCGAGAAAGGCCTGGTTGCAGAGACAGCCAAACAACGTTGGTTGCATCCTCCAGAATCTCGGATAAGGATTCCGGTCTCTAACAGTGCGTAGGTCAGCTTGAAGAGTTCAATCATCGAGCGGGGACGCTTGATTTTGACGGTGTAGACCCAGAGCTTGGGATGCATCTCTTGTCTCTGCACTGGAATCGCCAGCACCACTCGTTCTTGCTCACCTATCGGCCTGCATTCATGCGAGATATGGCCTGCAATGGTCCATACTTCTCCAAGATACTCTTGAACGCCATTTACTTTGGTGCTTCCAAGTTCAGCCCCCGTAGAGAGGTGCGGAGGGACCCTAATGATGTTCGTACCGCCGGCTGGGCCTTTCGTGAGCGTGTACGCAAATTGCTTGGTGATGCGCTTGATAGTAGTGACATTACTACGATTCAAGCTTTGCTAGTGATGACGAATTCGCTGTTTGCGCTAGGAGATGAGAGAAGCGCGGCTTGGTTGTATGCTGGCCTGGCATTCCGAATGATTATAGATCTGGGCATGCACGTAGATGCTCCAGGTCTTGGTATAACACGAAAGTTCTCTGATGAAGATCTAGAGATACGACGGCGGGTCTTTTGGGGTGCATTCGGTGAGAGTCAATTGGGCCACCCCAGTGAGCTGTAAGATACTGACACCATTTCTAGTTGTCGACAAGATTCAGAGTTTGTACCAAGGGCGTCCAGCATCCCTAAAAGAGTCTGACACCCTGGTACCGATCAAGTTCCTTGACACATTTGAAGAGTTTGAGAACTGGAAGCCGTTTGCCTACTCTACCGGTGCCACTAACTATCCTGGTTCGCCCGCTTACAGTGTATCGACATTTACTCATCTTTGCCGTCTCTCAGTCGTCATGAGCGACATCTTGAGTTGCATCTACACAGAGAGGGCCTTTGACAAGAGCGCCGGGGAGCTTTCGACAATGCTACAGACTTTGAGCTCGAAGTTGGCAACTTGGAAAGATGCACTCCCAGCACATCTTGTCTTTGATCCAAAAAGCAATGATGTCGTGCCGCCGCCGCATGTTCTCAGCTTGCAGTGAGTTCTATGGAAGCCTCTCTATTCATGGATGAGTCCTTATCGACTGATATCCATTCAGCGCCATGTACCATGTTCTTACCATCCTTCTCAGTCGACCGTTCGTGGCTGATGGCCATCTTTACAACACGTCTCGTTCCATATCTGTCAACTCGTTCATCACCTGTGCGTCTGCGGCCGACAGCATAGTGAGCGTTCTTCGAGTTTACGATAGGGTATTCTCTGTGCGCCATGCGCCATATTTAATCTCGTATGCTACGTACGTTGCGGCAACGATACACGTGCGGATAGCTGCGAAACGAAGCACGGAATCGGAGGCTCGAGAACGTCTAGAAACCTGCATGTCGGTGTTCCGTGAAAATCAAGAAACAAACTGGGCCGTCAGAAGGGCCAAAACAATAGTTGAAGGCCTGATGGCGAGACTTGGTGTCAGTCTTGGTGAGGGGCAAAGCACACTGTCGAGGGATCCCATACAAGTCAGCAAAAGAACGCGATTAGCCACGGCCACCACACGGGACAATACCGAAGGCAGAAATAGCTTGCCTCAAGAACTCCAAAATCATGCGCCTCAGGCAGCGCCCGAGAACGAAACACCTCCCTTAGGATGGTCGGATATTGATGGAATCATTCAGAGTTTTGCTAGAGGCCAAGATCCTAACGCAGCCTCAGCGGATCCGGCACAAGCAGATATTCAACTTCAATTTCAACAAGTCCCGCAACCAGCGGGAAACCAAGCCTTCAGCTTTGGTCCCTCGGGTTTTGTGGGCAACCAAGTCTGGTTCCAGGGGATGCCAGAAGGGGACGGCGGCTCGGCCTCCTTTGATGACTTATTGTTTGGCTTCAACGGATCCGCTTTGGACAGCATGTTCTCCTGATCTACTCGGGCAAAGTTATCCACGTTTATCGGCTGCGATATCTGTGACAATCGTAAATCAGGTTATTACCCGGGGGCAGAGTGTTGACACTCCACTGTTTTAATTGACCGGCGGGAGTGTTGCTTCTCGATCCCGCGGGACACTTTCACTCCCGCGGCTATGCGCCACTGATACGGCCTCACCCTGACGGGATGGACGGCAAAGATGATGAAGACTTTGTTGATATTAGTGACCATATGGGATGGCAAAATTATCTCGATGGATAATCACATTTCACTCAGATCTTCTTTCGCTCAAATACCCTCCCCTTCCAAGGAGTTGGGGTTAGACTGGTTGTTATTCCACAGTCTCACCAATGCCCTCCAACGTTAGAATCAACAACACACTTATTGGATCTCGGAGGTTCCTTCATCAACTCTCATATCCAACTCTACTACCTCCCTTTCCCGTTCATATCCCCTTCACCATCCCAATCATGGCGATAACACCAGCAACCACAAAGCGTCGGGTCAGGCACTCCCTTCCCGCGGTCCTGATGCGAGCCGGCACATCGAAAGGCCTCTTCATCCACCGGTCTCATCTGCCACCATCTGAAGTACAATGGGCTACGCCGCTCCTCGCAGCCATGGGTTCCAGATACAACGATGCCCGCCAGATCGACGGCGTCGGAGGTGGAAGCAGCGTGACCTCCAAAGTTGCCGTCGTCTCCTCATCCAGTAGACCAGGGGTGGACGTCGAGTACACCTTTGTCCAAGTTGCAGTCGGAAGCGAGACTGTTGATCTCAGCGGGAACTGCGGGAACATCTGCTCAGGGGTTGGTCCTTTTGCTGTGCAAGAGAGACTGGTCACCCCGATGCCTGGTTCTCGAGTGGTCGACGTGCGGATATTCAACACCAACACATCGAAACTCATCGTCGAAACGGTCTACGTTGACGAAGGCGGAAACGCGGAGGAGGACGGGGATTGCCTCATCCCGGGCGTCAAGGGGCCCGGCAGCGAGATCAAGGTTGCTTTCGTCGAGCCGGTGGGCAGCATGACGGGCAAGCTATTTCCCAGCGGAAAGCGGTCTGAAAGGATGTTCGTGGAAGAAGTAGCTCCACTTGGCGACTTTGCCGTAGATGTGACTCTCATCGACTCTGCGAATCCTTTCGTTCTTGTTGATGCTCAGAGTCTACCCGCGGAAGTCAGAAAGCTGCCTCCAGACTCCCCTCTATCCATCGAAGTTGCCGAGGCCATCCGGAGGCAAGGAGCTGTACGGATGGGACTGGCCGAGAATGTCGAGGCCGCCGGTCTAGTTAGGGGGACTCCGAAGCTTGCGTATCTTTCGCCGCCAGTCGGTAGTAACAGAGATACGGCGGATATCCGAGTACAGGCTTATAGTATGGGTCAGCCTCATCCGAGTCTGCAACTGACCGGCGGCGTTACTCTGGCATGTGCCGCCATTACGGAGGGGACCGTGGCGCACCGTGCTGCGAATCGGGATTCGGGTCTGGAGGGAATGCCAACACCAAGGAGAACGCCGAGTCCGGCAGGAGAGCAAGGTCTTATTAATGATGGCCGAAATTTTCAGCGCACCATTAGCATACAGCATGGAAGTGGGATTATGGAGGTAGAAGTCTGGGCTCGCGAGGAAGAACAGGGGCTTGCGGTCGATCGATGTATAGTGACGAGGACTGCGCGGAGGCTTATGGAGGGCAATGTGTTTTACTATTCCTGAGGGAGAGATCGTCTGTCTTTCCAGTTTCAAGCATAGCCTGCGAGATACTTGCTTAATGAGATCACAGCTCTCTTATGCTTCATTGTTTTGTGTCGCTGCAGCAGCAAGCCGTCATTCACATCCTGCTGGTCCGAGGTTCTCAGCTGTGCTTGACGTTGCAACCCCCGACATCGCGCGCCACCCACAACCCGCGCACTGCGTCCTTTGCGCAATCTTTCTGGCTAAAATGAAAGAAAACTGTCATAACAAAAGAAATCATCCACCACTGATGCAAAAGGCAAAAAAATAACTCCTCGACGGGGAATTGAACCCCGGTCCCCTGCGAATCTTTGAATGTTCAATGACAAGCAGATATCCTCACCACTAGACTATCGGGGATTGGTGGATGTTGACATCCAGTGATAGTTGGTTGGAGGGAAAGCGGCCTAGCGAATATATGTAGCTTTGATAAGTGGGCCCGCACTAGGTCGTGACCCACCCTGCCCTGCCAGCACCTTCCGAGCGCACGACACGGGAAGGCACAAGTGGAGGATATGGAAAGAGTGACCCAAAGTAGGTAGCGGCATGAGATTCTGCAGAGGTGCCCATTGTTGAAGAAAGTGTATGGAGGCATTGCTTATGAGGATAGGGCAAGGCCATCTGTTTCTGTTCACATCGTTCAATTTCCGCGAGTGCTAGATGGACCAGATCAACTCGATGGCCCGTGGTGTAATCAGCACACTGACGGATTGTGCAGAAAATGACTTTCTTTCGAAACCTCAGTCAGCGAGAGGAGTTTTGTTCAAGCAGCAGGTCTCATGGTCCTAGAAAATTGTAGGTCAAGCATTCTCTATCGAACTGGAAAAAGGTATAGTAAGACCTCTACGGCAGGAAACTGAAGCCAGGGCTTCGCGGAATAAAGACATGACAAATGGGATGTGGAAAACCGTGACTCGGAAACACTCCATTGATTCCAATCAGGCATTGTCAAATAGGGGACTTCAATTCTGTAAGCATCGCATTTATGCGACTTTCTCTTCCTAATTCCAGGCCCAAGACGACTACGGCTTGTCTCGGTTGAGAGTTTCTAGAGTGAATCCCGCCAAATTTTGCTTTCGATACGTATGTCGGATTCTATGCCTTCGGCTCGACAGCGGCAGTCTCCTTCTTTTGCGGAATCAGGTTGCGGAGCGAAAGGTCATACACGACATCCTCGACACGCTTGACATCATACTTGACCGCGTCGACACGCTTGCGGAGAATGTCGTTCTTGAGGTTGAGCAGCTGGAACCCGGCAAAGAGATCCTTGACGAAACTGCTGATCTCGACGGGCATGGAAAAGTCGGCGAGGGTGACGGCGTTGGTGGCGAGACGGGAGAGCTCTGAGGTCAGGTCGGTGAGGGCGAGGAGGTACTCCTCGATGGTGAGGTGGAATGCATCGCGGTCCTTGAGGTTAACAGGGACTACCTTAGAGTTAGCGCAAGGCGGTCGTGGTTGCCTGCAAGGCAGCTTGAATGGTACCTTTGAAGATTTCGCCGACTTCCTCGAGGGTCAGGAGACGAGCGATGGGGCCAGGCTTGCCATCTGATGTGAGGCCACCCAGCCATCCAGCAAGAAGGACGGTGAAAATGGCGTTCTGCACTTGGCGGTTCCACTTCTGGTTGTATCTAGCGAGGAGTCAGATGATGGTGCCTGGACTGCATAAGATGGATGCCTACTTGTAGTATGGGTGCTTGGAGGCGATTTCTTGCAGTTCTCCAATGACCTCAATCTCCTTCTGGATGCCCGCCTGGACGTCAGCCAAGAAAGGACCGTCTGCGTCAAGGTATCAGCCGCGGGTTAAAACAGGCGAGGCGGCCGACTGTAGTCATGCCAAATAGAGGACTCACACTGTTGACGCGGGGTGGCGTGGATGCGCGAGAGCAGGCCCTGGACGTAGGAGATGGCCCTGTCGAGCTTCTGGACTGTCTGACTCATTTGGTCCCGAACTTCCTGGTCTTCTTCGATCTTGTTCTTGAGGTGCTCAAAGATCTGGGGGTCGAGCAGGCGGGAGGCTGGCACCTCAACCATGTTGGTGTCGCTGTCCATAGCGAGTGATGAAATATGTGTCTGAGCGGCTGTGAGAATTGGGATCTGGGAGATGTATGAGCGATGGCGCAACAATACGGTCGATTTGAAGCCAATATGTTTGATCAGCAATTCACGTGCGATTGTTGGGTCCTGCCTCTGAAGCAGCAACGATTTTGGTGGTGAGATTTGAATTTTGGTAGACGGAAAGAGCCCCGCGATTTGTGACGTCGTCACGCTGGAGGAGGCGACCAGAAGGAAAAATCAGAGTTTTACTTACGGCAGCGACTGGCTTTTACTGACAAGCAGATAATTTGGCACAACTACGAGGAGTCTAACGATTTCCTGGCAATCTGGCGGCTTCACGATGTCATTGTCGGTGGTAGGCTCGAGGAAAATCATGCAAATGGAAGGCGGTCAGTCTTGACAATTGGAGCAACGCTCGCCCAATATGGAGAGCTTCGTTCAGCATTCTGCCATTTCAATGTCTGACTACGTTGTTCGCACAGCTTAACACAATAACAAGATAGCGCCAGCAAACGCCTACATTCGAACGAAAGAAACCTTCTTCACACGCCTGGACAAGCCAGACTGAGCAATGAAAGATCAAGGATTTGCGTCGCCTGGAGGCAGTGAAATACCAGGGACACGGTGGAGAGGGCATACGGCAAGCCGCAGAGGTCCATCTCCGAGAGATCAAAAATAGGAATAATCAATGTGATGCCAATAGGCATCTTTCAGAGATTAAACTGAAAAGAACAGATACTACACTTGATCTAAGCCAAAAGGCAAAGAAGAGCTAAGGAGAAAAGAAGAAAGCAGGCAAAGGTACGATGGGTGGAGGGGATTATATAGGGCTGGGGGCTGGTCTGTGCAGAGGGCACAATCAGTAAAGATACGTACCCCGGGAGAAATCGAGGCCAAACTTTTGCTGTGCAGTACGTACATGTACGTATTGCTGGGTCGTCCTGCCTGAAGTTGATGCCTCATCACGAGCTTACGATGCACGTCTACCTAAGATCCTCTCGAGAATTGAGGCATTCATTTGAGGCAGCACTTGAATCTATGGATGACCGAGGCAGATTATGTCTGTTTCCCTCCGCATGTGCATACTGTAATGTGCAACGAGCTCCCGCGTTCGAGGCATACAAGTAATATTCAGGACTTCAATAGTGTACTGGTCAAGTCTGGTTGACTGACCTGGCTATATAGGCTTATTCTTTCTTCTTCAACAATGTATGCAGCCTTGCTAAAATATTTGCTTCGTGTAATGTTTTTTCGGAGCACCTAACTGGCAATTTCCTGGGTGCTGGTTGATGGAGACCTAGCATCAGGGTGGCAGTTGCATGCTATCAATGACTTGTGGTTACCGGCGATTTCACATAAGAGTATCCGTAGATTCATCTTTTCATCATGACACGATGGCCATGTCTGTCTCCATTTCGATGCTGCGGCGAACATACGAAAAGGAAGTCCAGACTGATCTGTCCATCATCTACAAATGTTGCCGTCACTGCGTCAGACTATCAAATGGAGGGAGCCAGCAATCCCGGAACCAACTTGAGCTATCCTCATTTCCTAGGAAGACCCCCGTTGATTATGAGCTCCGTCGTTGCGTGACGGAAATCCGGGGAGTTTGAATGACCGCCCAGTCCGACCAGGCTTCAATATCGATCCTGGCTGAATCCAAACGAGCAATGCATGTCATGCAGGCATCGTCTAGCAAAAGGGGAGCTCCCGTCTGGTCGGAGATTTGGAGCTTCAGGGCAAACATCGATCGATATGCGCCGTCAGCTCAGGCGGGTGCCGCATGGTTCAAGTGCAGCGGCGAGCTTCGTCTACAAGTAGCAGTGCCAGCGCAGTAGCGGGGGCCCAAAGTTCGGAATCTTTGATGACCGGATCTTAATTGAAGCAAAATCAAGCTTCTTATTGGCGGGCCGTCTAGACGAGAGGTGCATATGCGGGTCCCCTGCAGCCGAGGAAGCTCCCGAGAAGGTTAGAGTCGGTACTTGCTCTTTGAGTGTAGGGACCACACAAAAGTAAGTACCTCCAATTTCAACTCTGTTCGTGACCCTTGACTACCGGCAGAAAGGGGGCAAACACAAATGTCAACAAAATTTTGAGTGGCAGAAGGCAGGCGGCAAGGGCCCAATCGAAATCCGAGGACACACTACCAAGTTTGACGTGAAGCCGTCCGGGTCTGAGTCTCTCGTCTTCCCGTTCTGCACGCCACCCCTCGACGCCTCGTCTGGTCGTACTCGGATTCTCCGTCCCAGACCGCCTCCACGTCCCCGATTGTCTACGCCTTGGACCTTGGACGAACATCGTTGCTGCTGAACAATCCCATCCTTGAACCCCGGCACGGACTTTGACATCAAGCTCAGCTACACGAGAGGTGCATGACCCCACGCTGAAGATTTCTGGTATTCTGTATAAAAAAGAGGCAGCCAACATGACGGGCAGATACTCGTTGCGCCAGACTCCTAGGTTAGTCGAATAGTGATTCCTTCTTTCTCTCTGGCCTGAAACCATTCCGCGAAGCAATCGGATCTGCTGCGAACACACCAGACGACTCTGTTGCGCATACCTTGTTGCCAAACTTGTCGCAAACCGCAACCATGGCCGCCCTTGTTTCCTCTCCCAATGGGTCAATACTCTAGCGAATACCTTTCCTCTTACCAATGCTAACCCACTGAATAGGAAGAAGGAGCTCTTTGAGGGCATGGTCGAGACTCCTCGGCGCGTTTCTTCTAGACGCAAGTCTCCCGAGGCCACCACCGGCGCAGAGGTTACCGAATCGAAGCCGCAACCCCGTGCCCCGAGACGACGTACGACGGGAAAGTTCCGCGAGGAGCTCGACGATGAGGCAGAGACGGCGCCCGCGAACGGCAAGGCCAACTTTGACGAGCCCTTGACCAACGGTCACACCAATGGACACGCCAACGGATACACCAATGGACATGTCAAGGAGGAGCCCATCGCCAATGGCCACAGCAACGGGTACGCCCAGGTGAAGGTTGAGACGGCGACCAACGGCCATGCTGCCACGCCCAAGGAGGATGCCCAGCCAACGTACAAGAAGGGCACCATCATCGACGGCTGGGAAGTCGGTACGGACCCCAAGATTGATGCCTCGGGCGAGTTCGAGTTCGGAGGCAGCATTGGCACCATGTCGCTGATGATCGGCTTCCCTCTGCTCATGTGGTACATGTGGATTGGAGCCACCTACTACAACGGCGGCGTTCCTACCCGTGAGCAGGGCCAGAGCTGGGGCGAGTTTGCCCGTCATCTCGTGGACCTTGTCTACACTGGCGCATTCCCCTCCCTGCGTGCCTGGCGCATCTACTGGACCTTCTTCACCTTCGAGGGCATCTGTTACTGCGTGTTGCCCGGTGTCTGGGCCTGGGGCAAGCCTCTGGCTCACGAGAACGGCAAGCAGCTCAAGTACTTCTGCAACGCCTACGTCAGCTTCTACTTTACGATTGCTGTCATGGCCGTCCTTCACTTCACCGGATTGTTCCCCCTCTACACCTTCCTCGACGAGTTTGGCCCCCTGATGTCTGTGGCTATTCTCAGCGGCTTTCTCGTGGCCTTCGCTGCCTACTTCTCCGCCCTCTGGAGAGGTGCCCAGCACCGCATGACCGGCTACCCCATCTACGACTTCTTCCTTGGCGCCGAGCTGAACCCCCGCATGTTTGGCATCTTGGACTTCAAGATGTTCTTCGAGGTTCGCATTCCGTGGTTCATTCTCTTCGGTCTTAGCTGCGGTGCTGCCGCCCGCCAATACGAAAAGTACGGCTACGTCTCCGGCGAAGTGCTCTTCCTGGTCATGGCCCACTACCTCTACGCCAACGCCTGCGCCAAGGGTGAGCAGCTCATCGTCCCGACCTGGGACATGTACTACGAGAAGTGGGGCTTCATGCTCATCTTCTGGAACCTTGCCGGAGTCCCTCTCTCGTACTGCCACTGCACCATTTTCCTGGCCAACCACCACCCTTCTGAGTACAAGTGGAACCCCATCGCGCTCGGCTTTCTCTTTGTCTCCTACCTCTTCGTCTACTGGATCTGGGACACCACCAACAGCCAGAAGAACGGCTTCCGCGCCCAGGAACGCGGCCAGCTCGTTGCCCGCAAGACCTTCCCTCAACTCCCCTGGCAGACGGTCAAAAACCCCAAGACCATCACCTCGGACAAGGGCGATGTCATTCTCGCTGACGGCTGGTACGGCTACGCCCGTAAGATCCACTACACGTGCGATGCCTTCTTCGCCATCTGCTGGGGTCTGATCACGGGGTTCAAGAGCCCTTTCCCCTGGTTCTACCCTGTCTTCTTCTGCGGCATGATTGCCCACCGTGCTGCCCGTGACATCCACCGTTGCCGCCAAAAGTACGGTGACGCCTGGACCCAGTACGAGCGCGAGGTTCCCTACCTCTTCATCCCCGTAAGTTTCAATCTTTGTTCTGCAGTAATGGAAAGAATCTAGTGACTAACTCCTCTACAGTACGTCATCTAAGTGACAAATCCATCAAACCCTCCCAAAAACTAGGCGTCTTATGCCACGGCCATCGGGCCATATTTGTCTGTACATAATTCGCTTCTTCACCTGGAGCCGGTTGCCAAGAGACTTTAAGTCCGGCAGTAAACGGCAAGGGGTAATGGTAAACGAATGGGGGGAAAAAGAAAAATTGCTGGCATCATGTGCGGGAAGACATGGTTGGCATAAAGACTTGTAATTATATAACAGAAGCGGTGCCTTGTTCTTTGACATCACCGCGACTTTCTTTGTCACGTGTCGGCAGCGTTTTGTTAGGCACGCTGCCCACTGAAATCGAGTAAAATGAGTAAAATGAAACACCTATCTAAAGACAACAGGTTCGTTTGGTAATGTGACCTTGTCGCCTGTGAGGCTTCCTATGCAGAAAGTACCTTGATAAATTCTGGTCGCGTCAGAGAAGCGGCACTTTGCTAGCCTTTTTTAAAGTTCCTGGGATCCTGCTGTAGGCGGGCAGCAAGGGGCTTGAAGGGCTGGCACTACTTAATTTTGTTAAGGATATACAGACCAAGGCCCAAGTTCTTCAGCATTCCCGCCAGTAGGTAGCTTCACAGTCCATTACTCAGCCTAGATGGTGCTTCCCCACAAGAGCATGTCACTGTTTGTATCCGTATCGAAACTCAAAAAGGCTTCGGCAAGACATTGCAGTCAGACTAGTCTGGGTCTATCAGCTGGGGGCGGTCCTTGGAGAACATGAACGCAGGTTGGTCTCTGTTCCTTATCTTTGGTTGTTGGCCGATGCTGGAAACCTAACTGGAGACTCCCTGTCCGCTCAGCATCAGGCTATGAAAGTAGTGATGGCGAGCCCCAAGGCAATCGACTGTGTATGGAGGATCACCAAATGTCACACAGCATAAGCAAAGGAGTATGGAACTTTAACAGAATAGTAGACGCATAAAAAACACATTGTCGCAACCTAGACTACAATTCCGTTCTCCCATCACCGATGTCTATGCTGAGCAATCGCCCCCCTGAATGGATAGCATACCTTGATGGCAAAATAGTACATATACGTTTGATCCTTGATCGAAGCAGTCCTCGATCGTCCCAAACATGGCATTTCGTGACCCTTGACCGTTCCCACGCCTATGCCTTTAAACCTTTGATTCGAGTTTTCGACGCGCCTGCTGATGATATTTGTCCGCCCTGTGGCAGTGATGCCCGTGCAAGTTGTGGCTTAAGTACATCTTGTCAACCGTTCAACCGAGCATTCGTCGTATTGGTGTCGTCGCTTAGCAGGTGACGTCCTGAGTGGCCTTGGAGTTCATGAGAAGAGCAACAATCAAGCCGTAAAGACCTAAAGACAATAATATTAGTAAAAGCGCGTCTGCGACCGGGGTTGATATAGCGTACCCAAGACTTCGGCGAAAATGAGAATCAGAATCATGCCGACGAAGAGACGGGGCTGTTGAGCAGTTCCACGGACACCAGCATCACCGACGATACCAATGGCGAAACCAGCAGCAAGACCAGCAAGACCGACAGAGAGACCAGCACCGAACTGGATGAATCCAGTGTAGAGGGCCATCTGCTGCTGAAGGCCGTCAGAGATAAGCACGGAAACGACGAGACCGTAAATAGCAATGATACCAGCCATAATGACGGGAACAATGTCTATAGTAATAATTAGCAAATGTCGATGCAGCTATACCATGAATGCATGGTCATCGATTGTGGATGCTGGTTCGTACTCTTGACGATCAGGTCAGGGCGGAGGACACCCATAGCCGAGATACCGACACCGGACTTTGCGGTACCGTAAGAGGCACCCAGGCAGGTGAAAACAATGGCGACGGTGCAACCCATGGCTCCGAAGAAGGGCTGTAGCGTGTTAGCGATGTTGTGGACGCGATGTCGAATGATGCCCAAATGGCTCATCCCAGGTAGGAAGGGGGGCGACGTCATGGATCGATGACTCGGGAGGCACAGGGAGGACGAACCGCATAGACGGGGCTGTGACATTATCGCGTTAGCAGATGAGCTTCAACAACGCAGTAGAAAGCTGTTTGCGCAAGTTGGGCATCGGAAAGGATGGAGTTGGGAGCTTCGATTGATGGACAGGAGCTCGTCAACGGGGGCAAACAAGCATGTTGTTGACGTACCAAAGCTCGGAAGGCATTTTGGCGGTTTATGTGGATTTGGACTGGCTAAAAAAGTCGAGGAAGACGTCGAGACGAGTCGGAGATGAAGGAAATACGGCGGCAGCTGGGCTGGGGACGATTGCGGTGATGATTGTTGGGGCGGGCGAGGTTCGATGCTGCGTCGGCGACTACTCGAGATGAGGTGTGCTTGTTAAGATCTCGTTTCCAGGTTGGCCTTCTGGTTGGTTGCAAGGTTTTGCGGCGCGTTGACAGCTCCTTGCCCTTACGTAAGACAAAGAGGAGGCAGTGCCCGGAGACCGGCTAAATGTGGCCTCCGAGGTGGCTGGCTCTAAGCTGCAGAAGCCAGGTCCCACTTTCCCACGGAATCTGCCGTCGAAATTTGGGGAAGTGGGATATTTTTTTTTTCCATCGGCTTGAGTTTGAACTTCTGGATCTTCACATTCACCACCGTACTCTCACCGATCTTTCATCTCACCATCAGGGCGAGCCAACGCAAGGAACCCTGCACTATAACATCGGTAAGCTTTTGAGACCTTCTGACTGTCAATTGCAAATCGCTGATTGCGTTCTGCAGACATCACTCGACACCTTACATCCTCAACAATGTCTGAATCCGCTGCCTGGCCCCTTGCCGACGATGCTCTTCAGCAAGAGCTTCTGGACATGGTCCAGCAGTGCCAGCACTACCGTCAGCTGAAGAAGGGCGCCAACGAGGCCACCAAGACTCTCAACCGTGGTGTCTCTGAGCTCATCATTCTCGGTATGTCCACTTCATCGACCGTTGTTGACGAAACAATGCTAATTTTGCCGACCAGCTGCGGACACTAACCCTCTCTCGATCGTCCTCCACCTTCCCCTCCTTTCCGAAGACAAGAACGTCCCCTACGTTTACGTCAAGTCCAAGACCGCTCTTGGCCGTGCCTGCGGTGTCTCCCGCGCCGTTATTGCTTGCAGCATCACCTCCAACGAGGGCTCTGAGCTCGCCGGTCCCATCCGCGCCCTCAAGGACAAGATCGAGAGACTCGCCATCTAAGATACCCCCGACGTAGGATAATGGGCAGTGTATTATGATGTATCTTGGAAGGTGCTGAAAAATGGTTTGGAATGGAAAAGTCTGAATTGTTGATAGGCGTCGACTAGCTATTCTGGGGTCCCATTCTCTGCCATGGTCTCTGCTATTGCGACGGAATGCATGGTAACTGGCTGCGAAAACAGCTATGTGAATGCGCCTATCTATTAGTGGATTCCTGCAAGTTGGTGTGGTCCGGAAACTAGCAATTGATGATTGTCGAAAACTCAAACTCCCAAATATGCAATGGCCACAATTTGTGCATTTAGCGGTGCTTGACTCGGGACGAGCCAGTGGGGGAACCTACAGCTTCCATTGGAACGACACTTTCCCTGAAGAACAAGTCAAGCGATCTCTAACCTTTACTGTCCACGCTATCTAGCTTCCTTGCCTTCCCTTGGACGGTGGGATTGTCGGTGAAGACGCGAGAACGAATGCAGAGCTGGCGTTTAATGAGCAGACTGAACCACTCATCGGGCCGGTGTCTTAGGCGTGACCTACGCTTGCTGTCTCAGCGACTCGCACCTGGCCCAGCAAATGCACACTGACGTTACCCCGCGGCCCACCACCCATGTCATAGCTACATGCACGATTTTTGGCCCGCCATCATCAGCAGTTCGTGTCGCGCACGACGCCCCATTCTCCTCTGCATCCTCCTCACACGCCGCCAATGTTGATATTGTGGCCCAGCATAACTAATAACTCTTTCGTGCGTTATTGAGTGAAGTTTCTGGCCTGTATCCGTTCTCATAGAATCCCCGTTTCTTCGAGCGCATTACGTTAATTCCGAATCGCAATTCGAACCGCGCTGAATTGCAAGATGCCCGGTATCGCTCGCAAGATCATCATCTGCGCCGCGGTCGACGGCCTTATCATACAACCATTTGTGACCAAAGGACAGCGCCCCGCGCAACCGGTAAGGATCAAATATGGCGACGCATCAATAAGTCCTGCTCCACGAGAGCAGATACCCGACCTTTCTCAGCCAAATTCTTCCTTCGAAGCCTTCGGCGTTATAGGTGTGACACCCGAGCTTCTAGCTGTGCTCCATAATTGTCGCAGCTTCGATGCTGACTCTTGAGGAATGCAGGTTTAATCACAGTTTCGCGTCTCAGCTATTTGATCACGATTACTCGGCGCCAGCAAGTTGCGCAAATCTGCGGTTTTCCGATCTATGTCGTCACCGAAGTCGCTATTACCCCTTGCGCCTCGCAACAAGAAGCTGGAGAAGCTATCGCCAAGACAGCCCTGGAGCTTCAAGATCGCACGACAGACAAGAACGCCAACGATAGCGACAGTGATGACTATATCGAGCTCCCAGCAAGCGGCGATGAGGTCGAAGACCCCGCGCAAGAAGCTAAAGCCGATAGCGATAAGGACCTTGAGACTGTAAAGAGTACAGTAGCGAAAGATGTTATCGGAAGGAGAGGAAGCTACGGGAGGTTCGCGCAGACCTGGTTCAGCAAGAGCGGATGGACGCAGGACCAGAAAAGATCAGCAGGTTGGAGCGGAGCCGCGCACCAAGTACGACGGTCCGTTGACCACAGTCCAGTCAAGAATGCTCCTCCGCGGCCATCCGTTGACGATGTTAACGAACCGACAACGGCATCCACACTTCTACCAAAGCTTCTGCGGATGACCCAGATATTTTACGGCTCATCGAGAAGCTTTTTCTTTTCTTACGACTTTGATATCACACGGCGTTGGTCAAGTCGTTCCCATGCCCAGTCCGATGAGATACCTCTTCATGAGCGCGTAGACCCAATGTTCTTCTGGAACAAGAACACATTGAAGCCATTTACGGAGGCTGGAGAGGATGCCTTGCTGCTTCCGCTCATGCAGGGCTTCGTTTCCCAGAAAAGCTTCGTGGTGGATAGCAGCCCTCCTCAACACGACGAAGGCCTCGGGGATTCCGTGGAGCTATCGACTATGAGACAGCCCGATGCCGAACTATCTTCACCCCCGCCGGAAGTAGTTCGTGACTCGATTGATCTGCGCTCTACCGAAAAGAAGTTCCTGTTGACCGTGATTTCTCGCCGTTCGACGCAGAGGGCTGGTCTAAGATATTTGAGACGAGGCATTGATGAACAGGGTTATGTTGCCAATGCGGTTGAAACTGAGCAGATTCTTTCGAGCACTTCCTGGGACAAGTCCTCAAAGATTTACTCTTTTCTTCAAATCCGGGGCAGCATTCCGCTATTCTTTACACAGTCGCCGGTCTCTCTCAAACCTGCGCCCGTTATTCAACACTCGCCCGAAGCGAACTATGCCGCAACGAAAAAGCACCTGGAGCGGCTCAAGATAGAATACGGGCTTTTACAAATTGTCAATCTTGTCGAAAAGCATGGTGTAGAAGCAACTGTCGGCAATCAATATGAAAAGACAGTGCAAAGGTTGAACGAGGAAGAAGCGAAAGGCGAAGATGACACCGTCGGTTTTGAATGGTTTGATTTCCATTCGGCTTGCAAAGGAATGAAGTTTGAGAACGTCAGCCAGCTTCTCGATACCCTCCGCGACAAGTTGGAAGGTTTCGGAAGTACCGTGGAAGAGGCTGGTCAAATCACTGCAAAACAACATGGCGTTTTGCGCACAAATTGCATGGACTGCCTCGACAGGACAAACGTGTGCCAGAGCTCTTTTGGAAAATTCATGCTCGAGTCTCAGCTGAGAGCCGAAGGCTATGATCTTGCAGCTCAAGTCGACCAGCAAACGCAGTGGTTTAACACTCTCTGGGCAGACAATGGTGATGCCGTATCGAAGCAGTATGCATCTACTGCGGCCATGAAGGGTGACTACACAAGAACGAAGAAGAGGAACCTTGGCGGCACATTAAATGATCTTGGCCTTTCTTTGACCCGGTACTACAATGGGTAAGATGTTTTGGTCTTGAATATTTTTCTTATGTTATACTCTTGCTAACCTCCAACCTAGAATGGTCAACGACTATTTCAGCCAGGCCGCCATCGACTTCCTTCTGGGCAACGTGAACTCAATGGTTTTCCAAGAGTTCGAAGCCGAGATGATGACGAAAGACCCTGCCGTTTCGATGCTGAAAATGAGGGAGCAGGCCATTGAGCTTTCGCAAAGGCGCGTCATTTCTGACGAGAGCGAAGAGTTCATGGGTGGTTGGGTCCTCTTCAGCCCGCATCAGTCAGATACCTTACGAGGCATGCCCTTTGAAGAGGTGGTGCTGCTTCTAACGGATGCTGCCTTGTATCTCTGCCGGTTTGACTGGAACATGGACAAGGTCTCTTCGTTTGAGCGGATTGATCTGGCCCATGTTATCGGTATCAAGTTTGGAACATACATCATCTCGACAGTCTCCCCTGGGCAGACGGACGAGATGAAGAATGTTGGTTTCGTTGTCTCGTACCAGCCAGGCAAGAACGACGTTACGAGAACGAACACGAGGACTTTTTCAAACCTGGGTATTACAAAGACCAAGACGGATGCGGCCCCGCCGGAGCAACAGCAACAGGAGCAACAGCAACAGCCTCAGTCTGCCTTGAGCAGCTTGCTAGGCGGCGGCCGCCCCAAGGCGCCACCGGTGCGCAAGCTCGCTTTCAAGGCCCCGTACTCCCAGTCATCCGCGGCCGTGACGGGCGAAGAACCCAAGCTCAGCGAAATCCAGCAGGTTGTCAGCATCTGCGCAGACATTGAACGGCTGGCGTTCCTGAGCCAGCCTGGCAAGGAGAAGCCGGGCACCGAGAGCATCATAGAGAAGGGCGACATCATTTCGCTAGAGGAGGCGAGGCAAAGCACTGGGTTGCTGGACCACATCAGCTACTCTCTGAAGAGGCTCGTCTGGGCATAAGGTAGCTTTTTGGCAACACACCATTTCTGCTTTCCTGGCGTTCTTTGTTCTTGCTTTAGGGTTTCGTTGCGCGATACAGGTGCATTTGGTAGCGCATATTTTCCAGAGAGATTGGATAGTTTAGAGAATCGGCGAGGCGGAACCAGACGGAGTCGTTGGACTCGACCTTTTCCCACCGACATCCCGGGAAGACGCCGTCTTTTTGGGGCTTGTTGACGAGGGTGTGGTCCATGAGCCACTGCATGGGATACTTTTTCGACTCCTTGCCGACGGCGGCCTCGGAGTAGCTCCCGGGGCTGTCAACGACGAGGAGCAGGGAGCCGAGGGGCACGGTGGCGGTCAGGTTGAGGAGGAAAGCTGTAGTCTTGCCGATGCCCGCGGCGGTGTAGAGCTCGTTGAGGGTAAATAGTAATGTGATGAGTAATGCCTCTTTGCCTATCGATTCGGAAAGCTGGTCCCGTGACATTGCGAGGGCGTCGAGGTGCGAGAAAGACGAAGACAGCCGCGCCGCGGGTTCCACGAGCGCTGCGGCGGTGGCTTGGGCCTCGTTTGCGTACCGTGAGGCCGGGGGCGGGACCGTGAGGGCGGCGTGGAGCTTGGAGACTACCGGGGCCCAGGGGGCGGCGTCGAGGCAGGTGATTGTGCCTTTTAGGTAGGCTGGTTGTTGGGAGAGGTAGGCTGCTAGGGCGGCTAGTTCTGCGGCGCCGCCGCCGATGGAGAGGATCTTGATTTCCTTTTTGATTTGCGTCGTCGTCTTGGGAGTGACGGCGGTGGTTGTGGTCTCGGTTGGTTCCGAGGCGGGTGGTGGAGGGGTGGCGGCATCGTCCTCCGCTGCGGGAGGAACTTCCTGATCGTCGGTGGAGGGGGAAGAGGAGTTCAGATCCCGGGGCGCATCACCCGTCTTGTCCTCGACGATCAACTTCTCGAGGCCCTCAGCTGCCTCAGCTACCTCAGCTCCTCCTTCAGCCTGAGCTCCTCCTCCAGCCTCATCTTCTGCAGCATTCTTGACCTGGCCCTCCAACCCCTCGAGGTGCTCCGCGATACCTAGCAGAACGACAGCGTACGCCAGAGCGCGGGTGGGACTCCACCTCGCAGCATACGCATCCAGGCTCTCCGCCTTTGCGGAAGTGAAGGCGGCGTCAAAGTCGCGGGCGTAGAGCGCGGCTTTTACTTCTTGCAGGATCGTGGCGAATGCGGGGGAGGCGAGGACGGGCTGGAAGGCGGAGGCGAAGGAGGAGAGGAGGCGTTGTTGGTGGGTTAGGGGCAGGACGTTTGCTGCGTTGATATCTGCGACAGCGGATGAAGGTGATGCTTCGGGTTGTTGAGCTTTGGGCTTGGCCTTTTGTTGCTTTGCTGGCTTGCCCGTGGTCTTTTTGGAGTTTGCGGCGTGGTGGGATGTGTCGCGGATGTTGTGCTCGACCTTCATTTTTTTACCCATGGTTGCAGAGAAACTGAAAGTCTTGTCGACTTTCTGGCCGTGGCGTATAAGTTTGTGAGGTTATGAAGTTGTGAAGTTGAGGATTTTTGTGATGGAGGGGTAAAGATTGAGGGGTAGTTAATAGTGATGAAGAAAATTTGAGTTGATGGCGAACTTTGGAATATTGGCTTCCAAGTGACAGTTGCAGCTCCCTGTGTAATACTATACTATTCGGAAGTACAAAGCCAGGTTTTCACGATACAGACGTTTAGTCTCACGTTGTTCTGATGTCTTCAAATCGTTCACTTGCGGTTGTCGAAGTTGGTTGAGGCGAAAACTCAATCGGGCAGGGTCCACACCGCCCGCTTTTGAGGTTAGTGCACACACATGGAGCGAGCTCATATGAGCCGTTCACTAGACGTGAATCTCATGATGAGATCTCACAACACACATGAGGCATTGCTTGTGTGGTTGCTGGATGGATAGAAAAACCATTACGAGTAAGAAACCTCATTGAGTATGAGTGAAGATCATCCTCGGTCTCTTAGATACACCCGCCGCCAAGAGCAAGGCCGAACTCATTGCGTCGCCTGGACCATACGTCTGCCAAAGCTTGGTCAGCGAAACACAAGGCCCGATTATCCACGGCCAGTGTCCGAAGTTGCACCGTTGAGGCTAAACTCATTTCACTCAAAATGAGGCAAAGCATGGCTCTCGAATCTCGATAATTCGAACCCGAAACCACAGAATTTTCCGCATCTTCTCCCGCTCAATCTCGACCAACAACAGCGTGGACGGATACACGCTGCTTGAGGCGGGCGGATATGCGGGTGGAGAGGTTTGATGTCATCCGCAAGGAAGAAGGGAGCTTGGGCCTGCGGCCGCCTTGATTTGCGCGGATAAATACGAAACTGGCCGGATCCCAGACGGATGGCCCGTGCTCACCGGCTCCGGAGGGGGGCACTTCGCCCAGAGAGTGTGAGTAGGTCTACCGTCACGTACAGCGCAGGGAAAAGCATAGAGGTGCAGAACAAAGAACATCGTGGTGTTGAGTATCTACGGCATACATTCAACCGTCCCCGAGTACCGCGTTCTGAGACATGCCGAGGGGTCGTGGAAATGTGAAAATTTGGTCGAAATATCAACGTTTGGTTGCCTATTCACATCGAACAGCACAGCCCACCTGGACACCTTTCGTTGAATACTTGTCGACGTCCTCTGCGGGATTCTACCGCGCTGGCCGTAGAAAGCCCGCGCTGGCCTGTCCTGGCCTTGATATTATCAACGGATGTCGCGCATCTCGATGCAAGACGGCGCCCGCCCGTAGAGGGGCCGGAGGGGCTGCTGTTTCTGCATACTGATGCTGCTGCGTCTACAGGCAGAAGAAGGCTGCAGCCTGCGAGTCGGCCCTGCGACCGAACGGTGAATTAAAAAATAAAAATAAAAAAATTGATAGGGGACGCGAGGGGTGTCATCATGCAGTCAGGGTCCACTGACATGACTGGATCTGATGCTCAGCAAAAGAAGTCAAGCCAGGCGATACCAGGGTGGTCCAGGTGGTATCGGAGGGGCCAGAGCTTATCCGCGTCGCCGGCTTGAAACAACGCGAGCGAGAGAACTGGAGGCGACGGAGGCGTAGTAGGGACATTTTCGGCGCTTGGCTCTCTCTGGGCCATCTGCTTGGACGAGGCTTTAAAGTCCGGCACACGCTGGGCCTATGGCCGACGGCGACGCAGCATCGTGAGTGAATAAAATAGCGCGAGGCTACTGGCCGGAAAGACTGGAGAGGCGATAGGGTGGGCCGGAGATACCCAAAAGATGCAGCCATCTCCACGGATTAGTCAAGACCCTCCAGGGCGAGCCGATGTTGCCAGGTCGTGGCAGATACCAAAAGGGACCCAGGTGAATCGTTGTGCTATGTGGGCATTATGACGACAGACTGTCTCCATGATCCATAGATGTTGTTGTTCGCACGAGTCAATACGGGCAACGAGCGAGCTTCTGGAAGGAATCGAGAGTCAGTTGATGGGGGTGAGATACGTCACAGCCAACAAAAAAAAATAAAAAAATAAAAATAAAAATAAATAAAAAGTGATACAGTTGATATGCCTTTTGGGTGCTGATTGAGGGAGTTCCAGTGGCGGTGGACTTGCTGCTGGTGCAGTATGCAGATGTGGTTGAACCTGGTGCGCCGAGTGCGGTATGATTCGTCGAGATGGGATAGCCCGGACACCGAGGTCGGGACGCGGCAGAGAGGGAATTGCAAGTCGAAGGCCGGACATTTTTGCCTCCCAGGGGTTTCCGGGTGAATTGGAATACCTACCTTATGGTACCTAGGTAGTAGTACATGGAAGCACGTCGACCATAGACGGGTAATAATGGGAGTGAAGAGTGCGGTCTGCGATTGAGCCGGCAAAGCCCACCAATACAAGGTCGAGAAAGATGAGTGGCTAGGCAATGGGAGGGGCAAAAAAAGCCAGAAGAGGCCAAGAAGAGGTGGCAGCAGAAGGGACAAGTCGACAGCAGTCAGTCAGCCCACAGCATTTTCTGCCGGACGACGAGGTTATTGAGACTTGAGACGAGCTGAAGGTGCTGTGTACCGATCCCAAGGCCAAAAACTGGAGATGCGACAAAAATGGAAGAGATGCGGGACACGTTGGAAAAAAAAACCTCCACTTCATGTGATTGTGAAGATGGAAGATGGATGATGATGGATCAGGATGGGCGAGGGTGGAAGACACCGAAAAGTGACATGAGTGACTTTCAGTTTAGCCAAAGGCAAGTAGCAAGTGAAGTATCTCCTGCTGTTCAATGCTCGAGGTATCGTGGCTGGTGGTACTGAGATGAGGTTGAGTCCGGGCATCCCGCCGAAAAAAAAAGCTCTCAGTAAGGCCAAGCTACCTTACCTTAGCTGAGGTAGGTACCTTGCCGTAAGGACAGAGCTCCAAGCGAGCCAATGTATCTCTTCCGCGTCGGCAAGGGGAGTAGCTACCTACCTATACTACATTCGTGCTTCATTACCTCAGCTATTTGAAAATGCGAGGTACCTCCAAGTATCGTAGCCTCTCTGGAATTCCAAGTTGACCCGAGAAAATGCAAGCTGGACATATCACATCAGGGCAATGGAATAATGGAATCCAATTCACCTCTGTGCCTGGAGTGGGCAGCAACAACCCACCCGGCAACAAGCATCCCACCGTGTGGTGACCTCCTCTTCCCAGTGGCTTGTCTCGTCTGGTGTCGTGTTGTTCCCTTCTTGAGAGAATCCGGCCGCGGCGTCAGTGGTCTGTGTCTAGGTGGTCCCCCTTCTGCCCCTCCACCCCTCCACCCCTCCATGTGCCCCCCCCTCCGGTCCTTGTCCACGCCCACGTCAGGTCCCCACCAGATGCTCAATAATTACCTTCCCGGCCGACATACGCAGTGACGGGACTGCTGAGGTACGCTCTGAGGCAAAAGGTGCTGCTGTCTTGTGTCGGAATACCTGAGGTACATTACCGCCTCCTCTCCCACTCCTTCTCATCCCTCTCCTTTTTTTTCTTCCTCCTCTTCCTACGTCTCCTTTAAATTTCCTCCCTCCTTCACACCACATTCTCTTCTTCCCCTGATCGAGTTCTACATCAAAAACTCTTGGAAGAAAATCAGACATCATGGGTTACACCGAACAAGACTGGAAGGCGATCAACACGATCCGCCTGCTCGCTGTGAGTTTCACCCGCCCGCCAGATTTTTACCCCGCCTACGCGCTTCTTCGTTGAGGATTTGTCGTTACCCCGCCATTGAGACCACCACCGCCACCATCCACGATGCTCCGATCATGTCATCTAGCAATGGGCTGGCTGGCCGGCCTCAATGAGCTTTCTGTCGAGAGCCCCATCATCAATTTGTGTTTGGATAAAAAACTGACCGAGTCTGCGATTCCCAGGTCGATGCCACCTTCAACAGCAACTCCGGCCACCCCGGTGCGCCCATGTACGTATTCACCCATGTTACAATTATCTCACGATGGAATCTGGTTACAGAAGCTTACCAATTCTTTCTTTAGGGGTATGGCGCCGGTCGCTCACGTCCTGTTCAACAAGTTCATGAAGTTCAACCCCAAGAACCCCAACTGGCTCAACCGTGACCGTTTCGTTCTCTCGTAAGTTGATCCATCCGAACATAGCTTCCAACTCCCGGATCGAATCCCCTTGGCTAACTTTCCCCTCAGTAACGGACACGGCTGCATGCTCCAGTATGCTCTCCTCCACCTCTTCGGCTACGGCGTCTCCATCGACGACCTGAAGAAGTTCCGCGTGAGTTTGACAATGACTCAAAAAAGTGAGATATGAGCCATTTGCTGACAGACTCTGCAGACGGTCGACAGCATCACCCCTGGTCACCCCGAGGCTCACGACACCCCCGGTATTGAGGTCACCACCGGCCCTCTCGGTCAGGGTATCTCCAACGCTGTTGGTCTGGCCATTGCCCAGGCTCACACCGCTGCTGTCTACAACAAGGACGGCTTCAGCCTGTCCGACAACTACACCTACACCTTCCTCGGTGATGGTTGCTTGATGGAGGGTGTCTCTGGTGAGGCCTCTTCCCTGGCTGGTCACCTCCAGCTCGGCAACCTCATTGCCGTCTACGACGACAACCACATCTCCATTGACGGTGACACCAACGTCGCCTTCACTGAGGATGTCGTCAAGAGATACGAGTCTTTCGGCTGGGAGGTCCTCATCGTCGACGACGGTGACAACGACCTCGACAGCATCGAGAAGGCCATTGCCAAGGCCCAGCAGTCCAAGGACAAGCCCACTCTCATCAAGCTGAGAACCACCATCGGTTTCGGCTCCCTTCAGCAGGGCACCCACGGTGTCCACGGCTCTCCCCTCAAGGCCGACGACATCAAGCAGCTCAAGGAGAAGTTCGGCTTCAGCCCCGAGCAGTCCTTCGCTGTTCCCCAGGAGGTCTACGACCTCTACAACAAGCACGCCGCCGAGGGCGCCGCTGCCGAGGAGGAGTGGAACAAGCTCTTCGCCAAGTACGGTGAGAAGTACCCCAACGAGGCCAAGGACCTCAGCCGTCGCCTCAAGGGTGACCTCCCCGAGGGCTGGGAGAAGTCTCTGCCCGTCTACACTCCCGCCGATCCCGCCATTGCTTCCCGCAAGCTTTCCGAGACCGTCCTCCAGAAGATCCACCAGATCGTTCCCGAGCTTGTCGGTGGTTCCGCCGATTTGACTGGCTCCAACCTTACCCGCTGGAAGGAGGCTGTCGACTTCCAGGCCCCCGCCACTGGCCTCGGTGACTACGCCGGCCGCTACATCCGCTACGGTGTCCGTGAGCACGGCATGGGTGCCATCATGAACGGTCTCGCTGCCTACGGTACCATCATCCCCTACGGAGGTACCTTCCTTAACTTCGTCTCCTACGCCGCCGGGTCCGTCCGTCTGTCCGCCCTGTCCCAGATCCGCGCCATCTGGGTTGCCACCCACGACTCTATCGGTCTTGGTGAGGACGGTCCCACTCACCAGCCTATCGAGACCCTCGCCCACTTCCGCGCTCTGCCCAACAACATGGTCTGGCGTCCTGCCGACGGTAACGAGACCAGCGCTGCTTACTACGTCTCTTTGACCTCCAAGCACACCCCCTCCATTATCGCTCTCTCTCGCCAGAACCTGCCTCAGCTCGAGGGCTCCGTCATCGAGAAGGGTATCAAGGGTGGATACGTCTTGCACGAGGACCCCAACGCCGACATCACCCTCGTCTCCACCGGTTCCGAGGTCTGCATCTGCGTTGATGCCGTCAAGTACCTCAAGGAGAAGCACAACATCGCTGCCCGCGTTGTCTCCATGCCCTGCACGGAGGTCTTCGACTCCCAGTCCAAGGAGTACAAGCTGTCCGTCCTGCCTGACGGCAAGCCCATCATGTCCGTTGAGGTCATGTCCACCCTCGGCTGGGAGAGATACTCCCACGAGCAGTTCGGTATCAACCGCTTCGGTGCTTCCGGTCCTTACAAGGACGTCTACAAGGCAAGTTTCTCATTCCCATCTCACCACTGTGTGTCAGCCATTCTAACCTACTCTATAGAAGTTCGAGTTCACCCCCGAGGGCATCGCCAAGCGCGCGGTCGCCACCGTCGAATTCTGGAAGGACGTTCCCAACGTTCGCTCTCCTCTCAACCGTGCTTTCCAGCAGCTCATTTAAAGCGGTCATATCCATGGGTAGAAATTGGTTAATTGGCGATTGTTCTTATTTTTTTTTTTAACGCAATGACGGACGTTTCACGGGGAAAATGAACTCGGTATATAGAGAGACCGTCAAAAATCCAAAGATTATGATTAACGCGAACTAGCGCTTTCCTGTACGCCTAATCCACCCCATACCGTAGCCTGGTTTGGTTTCCGTACCGGGTCCTCCATGTGACCATGATTTCGTTGCTCGTAATCCTCATGAAAGGACCGTATGCCCTGCCCTGACTCGAACTTTCCAGGCCACGATGTCGCTTTCCTCTGGGCGTCGTTAACCTTCCACCAAGGACATCCTTTGCCCATTTTTGTTACGATCTGACCAAATTGTCTCTCCATCGTCCGTCCTATTGGTATGTGAAAGTGTGTGTGTGTGTGTTTCAACGACCCAGACCATCTGCGTCGCCCGTCCCTTCTTCGGCCGCCCATTCTCGTTGGAACTCCCTGCCCACTCTCTCGAGTCTGCCCGCGGCGCGGCGCGCCTCCATGGCCTCCTCGCCCGTCGCCGCGACCACCATACCGACCAGCATCGGCGCCGCGTTCTCTGGCTCTTCGCCTAGCTTGCCCGTCTCAGGTATCACTCTCGCTGACGCACCCGCTGCGGAAGATGACTCTGCTATCGGGGCAGCGCCGGCGACACCTGAGGATACGGGTCTCGACGAGGACTTTGACGCTGAGGGGACGGAGCTCTCTCCGCCCGAGTTCGGCAGGGCATCGGCGCCGTTGAGGAAGGAGGCTAGGACGACGGGGCTGCCCGGGCCGTGCTCGACAATGATGCGCTGGGCGGGGCCGAGAGAGAAGCGGTTCGCGGCGGCATGGGCGGTCAGAGAGGTCGTCGTCAGGGAGGTGAGTGCCTCGAGTTGGGATTGGGAGTGCGCCGAGGTCAGGATCGGGTTGAGAGCGCGGTCTGTTAGGTGGAGGGCCAGCGACGGGTGTTGTGAGGGGAGGGAGGCCATTGTTGGCGGTGACTTGGTGCTCTGTCGGGCGGGCGGGGGTTATGTTTTGCGCCGGTCGGGACTGAAGTCTTGTTGCTGATCTGGAAATTTGAGGCTGAGACGATCCTATCCCGAGAGAGGGAATTGAGTGAAGTACAGAGTTGCGACAGAATTGGGTAGAAGATCAGCAAGTAAGGTAAAGAAGGAGGGACGGGAAGGAAGAGAGACGAAGAGGCTGTGGTTAGTCGGGTAGGCGGGCGGTTTGGCGCGGGCTTGTGGGCTTGCGGCGGTAGTGATGGGTGGTAGTGGTTCGGCGTGAGGTAGTTTTGCAGCACCCTGTTCGCACCCGTACCCCGCCATTACCCCGCCAAATGCCGTGCCCGACGCTCAGAGGTGGAACTCTTCTACCGCCCGTTGAGAGATAATTACGCTGTATCTTTAGCACCATTACCTATCTATCGCCTGCATTCAGATGGGACCCCCACCCAAGAGATTACCGGGGCTATTTCTGAAGAGATGTGATAGGAAAGCGGGCTCGTATGACCGTTGATGATAAAGAAACGAGGGGGCATCTGGTGGGAGAAATGTGTCATGGGACTTTGCTGTGACGCAATGTCGAAGCTTGGTTCGTGCAGCATTACAAGGGGCCCTCTGTGCCTCCGTCCTGTCCGTCCCCTAAGGACAGGCCTCAGCGGCTGACCCTCGTTCTCGGTGTCCGCTGGACGTCGGTAGACTTTGGGGCACTGCCGGTGCTGTGACGCCTCTCACGGGTCTTCACAGCCGGAGCGGCGAGACTGCTAGAGGTCTTTGGCGAAGACCGATACCCGGACCGTCCGTCTAGGCTTCGCCGGTGGTGGGAGATTCGGAGACGGGCTGCCGTGGACGAGGAAAGGGGCTCGGCAACCCAGGTGTCCGCTATCGTCTCGACAGATGGTTTTTCAGCGGCCACGGAGGATCGCGGGGGAGGATCTGCGAAGTGAACCGTCTTCTGACTGCGACGAGCCGTCGGTGTTCCGGGCGCTGTTCCTGGGTTCTCTTGTCGAGATTTCTGCGTCGAGCGCACAGCGTCCTCTCTTTCCGGTTCCTCCCCTATGGTGGACAGCTGATGAGCTGCAGCTATAACATCGTCGTCGTCCGAACTGGACGAGGGATCTTCGGATGCCTGCTCTCGAGGCTCGGCTGACATTTTAGGCTGCGATGCGGCCGGTGCGGGCTTTGGCTTCTGGCGAGAACGTCTGCGCCTGCTGCGTTGTTGCTGTTGTTGCTGAGGCTCGTTTGCAGTTGCCGCGTGGATATCTTCCCCGCCAAACAGGTATCCGAGCAGGTACGCATCTTGGACTTCGGGGGGTTGGTGGTCCCAGCATAAATGATTGGTAAATCGCGCATCGTGAAGTCTGGCTTGATTATTGGGACATCTGGAGACTCGACACGTATCTGGTCCTGGAGTCAGAGAGAACTCGTACGTTGTCGAGGGGCCGAAGCGGCCTGGTGGAACGCTTACACATGTGTTCCTGACAATATGGGCCTTTGCGGTATCGAGGCCTCACGCATCCCTGCCGTCTACAGACGGCATGTTGAGCGCAGTGTCGTGATTTGGACCCTGGATCGCAGACTCTCTGACAGCCGGGAGTTTGACAGCGAGCGTCAGGCCTTTCGGCATCGCTGCTGCCTGCGCCGGCATTGCTGCTCGATACACACTGGCCCATGGCTCCTCGCCGTCGCTCCTCTGTTCCATTCCTCCAGCACAAGCTGAGAGGATGGACGAGAGTTGAGGAGGACATGTTCTGGAGAACATGTCAGCTCTCAACATGCTTTAATGTTCGAGCTGCATAATTGTGCTTGGGTCGTTTATTGCCGCAGCACCTCCAATCATCTTGAATAAGCCAAGTCGTCCCTTGTAGAGCAGGGCGGACGTCTTTCAAAGCAACGAACGAACGAGACTCTCACCCACCTCTAGCCCCCTTGCCCCCTGGCTCGATGCGTTCCCGCGCTGGCAGGTAGACAGGGTCCTTCAATGGGAGCCGAGATGCAACTTGCATCCATTCCGGACCTGGGTCGGTGCCAACTGGACATCGGCGCAGTTGAAACGAGGGAGAGCTTGCCAATCAGGCGGTGCCCAAGGGCAAAGGTTTGAGCGATTGGGACACTGAGAAGGCGATGTAAGGCGCCAACGCATTGAAAGACGACGGCTGGGTGGGCCAAAGGATGTGCAGGGGGGATGGAGGGTGTTCGTCGCGTTGGTCAGACGGCAGGAGGCCCGCTTAGGAATATGTTGACTTTTTACTATTTGTTGTTACGATGTGTTCCTCTCCTCATTCGATAGCTTCCATAAGAGTGGCATGAACAGCATGATGTTTGCCTTCGAGCGATGATTGCATCTTGATAACCACCAGTGGCGAGACGGTGTTAGTCCGATCGATGGCTGCTGAGAGCTGAACAGGCGCAGTATCCTGTGTGGTTCTAAATCTTGATGAATCAGTGTCACAGAAAGAGAGAGAGAAAAAAACATGCATCTATCGAACGATTGAGACGGCTTCTGGGATTTGGAGTTCATCACGGAGGAAATGATCGGTTGTTGGAGGTTGAAGTAATATTGGATAATGTCCAAACGGCAAGAAGGGAATTCATCGGAACAGGAGGGGTGGCCCCTGTAAGTTTAGCACACTCCACGCATAGCTGGTGCGCCTGCCTTCGTCATTGGGGAGCAGCCCCCTGTCAACCACAAACACTACGGATGAGTGCAGGTGGAATGTGGCTTGTTCTTGACACGAGTGGACAGCTAAGCTCCTGGGCTCGAGGCTGAAGCGTTCAATTCGCATCAAACATCCAACTGTACATTGCGTACTCACGGTAACTTCTTGGTCGCAACCTTCTGCAACAACACCTTGAACTCACTTGATCTCGCTTCACAACATACTCAAGCACATTTGCTTCCATTATGGCTGATGCTGAAGAGAAGGCCAAGGCCGAAAAGCTCGCCGCCGCCAGAAAGAGAGTAGGTTTACTCGCGGTGCGACCACCACCGGTCCATTACTCACAGCTTGCTAGGTGGAAGAGTTGAAAAAGAAGAAGACGAAGAAGGCCGCCGGATCATCAAAGAAGGAAAAGGCTGAGCCAACAGCGGCAGAACCCAGCGCCTCGAAGGACAAGGACACCGAAGCTGAGCCCACGACACCCGCAGATCCTGCAACCGAAGACACAAAAGAGGACGAGAAGGAAGCTACGGAAGCTATCGCGGAGCAACCAGCATCGCCGACTGCATCTCAACCTTCACTAGCTCAACAGTCCAAGCTCCGCTCTGCGTCCTTCCGACAAGGGTCCGTCTCCGCCGGCAATGGTCCTCTTTCGCCTAGCGCCGAGGCTCCTGAAGGCGAGACTGCCACCGATATCTATCGGAAGCAGCACGCTCGGATAGAGGAGCTTGAGAAGGAGAACAAGCGTCTAGCCAAGGACTCCACCGATGCGGAAAGGAGGTGGAAGAAGGCCGAGGAGGAGCTGGCTGATCTGCGTGAGACTGAGGGCGAGAGCAAGGGCGGACCAGGCAGCCAAGTCGAAAACCTGGTAAGCATCACATTATACGACCATGCGCCCTTGCAAAGATTGCTAACAAGTGCTAAATAGAAATCCGAGATTGAGGCCCTTCAGCGCCAGAACTCTCAGCTCCAGCAACAAGCTTCCCGCGCAGGTGGCCGCCACGGATCCTCACCATCGGTATCAATGTCTTCTCCCCCCGCTGAGCTCGAGGCCCAGCTTGCCTCCAAAACCGCCACTATCGAGTCGATGGAAATTGAAATATCAAAGCTCCGCGCACAAGTGGATCGCCAGTCCAGCGGCACGTCTTCCGAGAAGGAGCAGATTGCCGCTTTGGAAGAGAAGCTCGCGCGATCTGAAAAGGCCGCCACCAAGGCACAACACGAACTCACTGACTTGCGGAAGAACCTCGACCGTACGGCGGAAAAGGCTGTCCGCGAGGGTAGCGAACGCACAAGCGCAGAGACGAAGCTCCGTAGCTTGGAGCATGATCTCGCCGACTCGATCGATGCCAGGCTGGAGGCCGAGAAGAAGGCGGATGGTCTGGAGAAGAAGGTCACGACGCTGACCACGCTTCACAAGGAGCAGGACTCGCGCACCCAAACGTTGCGGAAGGAGAAGGAGCGTGCCGAGAAGGAGGTCAGCGAACTCAAGGCGCGGGTTGAGAGCCTCGAGAGCGAGAACACGAGGCTGCGGAGCCGCAAATCCACCGAGGGCGGTGGCGGCCTGGATGACGACGGCGTCGACGAGCTCGAGAATGAGGAGCGCTTGCGTCTCGAGAAGAAGGTGCGCGACCTCGAAGCCGAGGTTTATGAGCTCCGCCACGGGCATTGGCAGGAGAAGCGTCGCGAGCTTAATAGCCCCAGCTTTGAGAATGTGGACCTTGGCGGGAGCCGGGGTACGTCGCCTTCAGCGCAGAGGAAGCAAGCGGCCGGCGGTGGCATCGGAGACTTTTTCCAGAGTGGAATCAACGCGCTCACCGGTACCGGGGACGACGAGCTGCTTCTCGACGACGACGATATGGACTTTGACGAGGACGCGTTCCGCCGCGCGCAAGAGGACGACGCAAAGAAGCGTATCGAGCGCATCAAGGAGATTAAGCGCACGCTCAAGAACTGGGAAGGGTGGAGGCTGGACCTCGTCGAAAACCGACGGGGTGGATCCGAGGGCGTGGGTGATGTGTTTGAGGTCTAGACTTCATGTCTAGCTATTCCTTTTCTCTCTTTCCCGGGGGCAAGGTCTACTGCCAGCTTCTGATTAAGATGCCGAGAATCTCTCAGTTTTGTAGACTTGAATGTCCTTTGACGCCTTATTATGGAGTGTCTTTTCCTCCGGCTTCACACGCTTGGGAGGAAGTACTCTCCAAAGAGAAGCGTCAGAATACCTCGACTTCAAGTCACGAGTGTGGTAGGATTTGACGGCTCTTTTCTTTTCATAGATTCGAGGGCCTCTTGAGCCCGGGGGTATGTAAGAGTACAGGTAGACCAGAACTGATATCCAAAACAAAGTGAATTCCGACGAGCGTCACTGAGCTTGGCTTTCATCAAGATTCTATTCCTTGCTAAACGTAATTGAGTGTCTGGAAATGGAGCCCATCATCGTCTTGCCTTCGTCCGTCCCTTTTCCTCATGTAGAAGTGTCGTTCAACATTGCTCCTATGCCTTCTCTGTGCACATAGCATCTGTTGATTTCCACACCTTCGAGCACAAAAGTAAGTGGTACCTAGGAGTTTACATGTACTTCTAGCTGGCAATGATCGTCACTCGTGCATCCTGCAACCGCAACCCCCCTGCCTACTTTAGTTACTAGCCGGTGTTGCCTTACGTTGGTGATTTGCCTCAGGCAAAAGCCACATGTGACAACGCGTTGCTGGTCTTTTTTTTCTTTTTTTCTTTTTTCCCTCTCACACCGTGAACCGTGTACAGCTTCCTTTTTTTCGGCCTCACGCGTAAAGCACCCAGCTTCATTTAGGATTACGTCATCCACGTCCACTTACGAAAACAGTCTTTGGCGACTCATATGTGTTCACATTCTAGACGTGTTCATCATATTATAAGAGGGAAGATTAAGTTGTCATTGAAGAGGAGAAGAGAAGTGTCATCTTGATTTATGGGGGGTTGAAGGGATACCATACTATCGTCAAAGGTCATCCCGTATCTATGGTACTACACACTTAAAAAAATAAAAATGAATAATCGTTCGCAATACAAGATAGTAGAATTACAAAAGTTGTTTTTGGTGCTGAGAAGAACCTGAGAAGCGAAGGGAGGAGGCGTGAGTTGAGGAGAGGGGAAATGTACAATCTACCATTTGCCGTCAAAAGGAAAAACAAAGGGGCGGAAAACAAACTCCGGAAAAACATGTGGTATTTCTCATATTTTTTTGTTCCATCTTTCTGGTTCCCTCTGCATAACGCTCTGCGTAGCGAAGGGGAGGGGGGATATCAAAAAGTAGTCGTCATCGTCCTTGGGCTTTCTTCGCCACCGTAGAAAGCCGCGGAAAAGGAAAAGAAAAGTCGAGAGTCGATTATCCCGTAAAACGCCGGTTTCCCCCTTTCTGTTGAATTACCCATGCCGTTAAAACTATACACGGCGTCGTGTGACCACGGCCAAAGGAGACATAACGGAATTGTATGGATCATGAAAAAGCAGTTTTCTGCCCTAGAACGCCTCGTCGATGCGTGTGTCGTAAGAGTGTGTACGTGGTGTGATGGTTGGTGTGTGCGGTGAGGTGTCGAGTCGAGGACGCGAGGGTTCAATGTGGAAGCCTGGAGTGTGAGTCGTGGCCGCCGGGTGTTAGCTTAAGGTGTGGTGTGGTCGTAACGCCGTAACGGGAAGTTCGGGAGGAAGCTGTCGCTTTCGGGAAGAGGCGCAGGCGTTGCGTCTGATTGTCACAACATCGTGGCAGTGGGAGCGCCGAGCCCGGACGGATCGAGGTTCGTCCGCAGCGCATCCTGAAGCTCTGCAATCTGCGACATCATGGCGAAGCTGTGCTGGCCCTGTCTGTCGAGTTGCTGGCGCAGCTCCTCATTCTCCATGCGTACGCGCTTGATCTCCTCGCGCAGCTCGTCCAGACCAGCATCAGATCCCTTTCGGGAGCGCTTTCGCTTGTTGCCTGCGCCGAATCCAATGGCCTTGTCACTGTCACCGT